ATTTTCCCCGAAGGGCCACGTGTACATGCCCTGGCAGAAGTAGTCCCCTGAGCTTGACCAGCTGCGCTTCGGATCCTAAGAGGGGATTTCTGTGGTGCTCATGGTTCTTGCACCCTGTCTCTGTCTTGGCGACCCAGTTGAGAGATCTTTTCCTAGCTGCTTTGCGGAGTCTGGTTTTAGATCGCTAAAGGGGAGAGGCCCCCTGGATGGGTCGCTGGGCCGCGGGGCGTGGACAAACGCGAGAGGTGGGGCATAATGGAGTCTTGGAGGCGGGCAGTTAAGTCTGCACCCCACAGGGCCCCTCGAGGGAAACTGAGGTGTCCCCCACACACGCTGGGGATCATGGCCCGGCCCAGGAAGCCCCACAACGCGGGGCCTAGCCAAAGCTCCCAAAGGCCAAAGGCTGCTCGGCCCTCTGGGCCCCATTGCTCGTCCCTCCACCCCCATCGCCCAGGCCCTAGCTGGCCCGGCGTGCGCCTGCCTGCAGAAGAGAAAGCAAATCTCACCGACCTTGCCTTCTCCTCTTTTTCCCAGCTCTACCCTCGAGCGCGCGCTCTGGGAGCGAGGAGAGCGCTCTGGGGTTCTCTCCGCGAGGCCTCAGGCTCTGGCTGCCAACAGGACGTCCTGGCTCAGAATGAGCGCCCAGTGGCGGGGAGGGGGGGGCAGTTTATATCTGTCTTGCTGTTGTTTGATGTACACACACCCGCTCTATTTACTATCAAATAAAAGAAATACATCTGTGTTGTCAACAGAAACAGCTTGCGCGCTGACTCCGAAGTCTCCCAGGGCCCCGAGGCGATCCGGGGCACTCAGAGTGGCAGAGACCCACATTGTGGGGACCTGGGCTCCGAGTTAGGTCCCGGCCTATAGGAGTAATGGAAGTCCATGGTGGGGTGTTGACAGGCTCCACTAGTTTGTCGCAGGTGGGAGAGAAGGAATGCACGAGGCATTCCTGTTGGACTGATTTCAGGCTCAGTCTGTTCGTTGGACTGATTTCAGGCTCAGTCTGTTCGTTGGGATTCTACCCAGCTTGCCTTAGCCTGGGGCCATCAGAGAAAACCAGCTGCCCAGGGTCATCTCAAAGTGTGCCTGATTTTGTGTGTTAGCGATAGCTGTGATGCTAAACACATATGTGACCAGGTGTACTGCGGGCCCCTGGGTACGGGTCTGTTAAGGTCTGTCTAAAGTGTGTGTGTGTGTGGTGTGTGGTGAGTGTTTATGTCACACGTGAGTGGACCCTACGTGTGGTTTGCTGGTGTGTCTATTTGGATGATGCAGGAAGGATTTAGCCAGAAAGACCTGTCATTTGCACTGACTTGAAGATTAATAGGGGGTGCAGATAGGGAAGGATCTGAAGTTAAGGTAGGTGGAAAGAAACTTAGGTTCTATGATGGGCGGGAAAGGAAGGTGAATGTATAAAATCTGGGGTATTGGTCCACTGTCCTAGGGTAGGGGACAGGGGCTGACATCCCACAATGGAATGTCCTGGAGGAATTGCATAGAGGCACCTTCACCCCTTCAGATAGCCAGCCCCCTCTGCTGCATGGTTCCAACAGCCCCTGGCAATCCCTGTGGAGGTGGGGGTGGGGAAGGGCATTCTTTGTAGGGGAAGATGACCCCAACCAGCTCTTGGGATGTGACAGTCCCACTGAGAGGTTTCTTGGGCTCTCCTGACACCAAGACCTCAGAAAGCCCTGCAGTAGAGCCTAGGATGCTTCCTTGTGAGCGGTGATGCTTGGTGCCCCCACACTCAGGCTCAATTCTTTCTCTTGCATTGTGAGAAATACTACCACCCCCACCAGACAGGAGGGAAGCGGAAGTTTCCCGCCTGGGCCAGCTTCTAGGCTCACACAGCCGCCAGTCCCTGGAGGCCTGGCGCCACCCTTCTCCCCTAGGGCAGGCACCGTGGCTCCACGGAGAAACATGCCGGTGCAGGGCAGTGGGGCTCCCCAATAGGAGGGAAAGGGAGGCCTCGGGGAGCAGGACAAAGAATAAACTGTGTGTGGGGGGAACCAGTTATTTCTTGACTTTGTATAGACTGGGTCAGTCAAGAACCGTTTTCTAGAATCCAAACACAAATAAAGAAGTATTTTCTTGGCGTTTGATAGCATCATGTTCTGGCTGTAAAATCTAAGGACATGTTTGCCATTGCAACATTATTTTTAATGAGCTGTTATTGGCCTGTCCCACAGTTAGTATTGCCAACAGTAAAAGGCATCACTATGTTTGCAGGTAACACAAGGAACAACATATTTTGACCCCGAATTTCTGTTTATTTTTCATTTACGACACATGCCCTCGTTTTTATTCCAAACCACAGGGAAATAAAGGGAGATCTATCTTCACTGAGGTTCAGGCTAAAATTGTGCCATAAATACGCATGCCAGTTTATTTGGGGGCAGTTTCCCATCAATAGAAAACGATACTCAACATTTCAGCCATAGTAGACTCAACTGTGTCGATTGGGTTTAGGAAACCTAGCAAAGCACTGAGAGAGGGAATGGGAGCGCGTGCAGGCGCTCCCCAGCGGACGCGCCGGGCGGTGTGCTCTTCGGAATCTTCACGGTCTACAGGTTCTTCATCTCCCCCTTCTGGCTCCCCAGCTTCGAACTTGCCCTGCCAGGAGTTGGGCGTACAGACCCCATGCTCTAAGGCAGGCAGCCAGGCGGTTGGCAAGGAGGGCCCAAGCACCTCCTTCCGCCGGCCGACTCGCGCTTCCCAGCGGCTCCCGGCGCCCCGCGCCTCCGCAGGCTGCCCACCAAGCTCATGGGAACCTCAACCGCTGCGCTTCCAGGCATGGGCCAGACGGACAGCAGACCAGAGAGGCCGCCCTGGAGGTGGTGGGCACCGGTGGACAGAAAAGGGCCTGGCTGGGAGGAGACAACGTCCTCTCAGTGGCCGCTGCCACAGTCTGGTGGTCTCTGTTCCCTTGCACTCGACGCACCGGGACCGCGCCCCTCCCCGAGCCGCCCCGAGAGCCACAGTTCCTCAAGGCCTGCGGATGCTTCCCGGTCCGGGAGCTGGTTGGCCTCCCTGGGTCTGCCCTCTCTCGATCTAGCTTCTCCCAGCGACACTCCGCGACCCGCCTCTGGCCACGGCTAAACGCTAAGTTCACTCCCTTTCTGCCCCCGACCCTAGATGCCACAGAGCCCAGCACACTCCAGGCCCGCTGACGAGCGCCCCGAAATGTCCTGCCCAGAAGCTCGCGGCTCTTGAAGGAACCGTGGCCTGGGAACGGAATGCGAGGCTGCAGCACTACGTTCGGAAATTTATCCGCCATCACTCAGCTCGCGGCTGCCGCTTCGCTCAATTTCTCAAACTAGATAAGCTTAGGTTCTCGCCCCTTCCGCCCCGCATTCTCCCCTGAGCGCAGGGCTTTGCAAGCCGCAAAAGACACTGGGGAGAGAGCAGCCCTGGTCGGGAACAAAGCCGCCTCTGTCTCTGCGGCCTCCTGGATTATGGGGATGTGCGTCCAGGTCCGACTCGGCGAGCGAGAGCAGAGGAGGCCAGAGAGCGAGGCAGAAAAGAGTTTCATAGACACCTGCTCTGCGGAAAACCGTCCGAAGTTACACACTCTGGCAACACGAAAGGCTTCACTTTTCTTTTCTTTTTAATTAATTCAATTTCACGACAACATTAAATGTAACAATATTTTGTGGGCTTTTTTCTCTTTTTCTTAAAAAGGGACTGAACCCGGGCAGTGACAAGGGAGATGGGGGGTGGGGAGAACGACAAGCTATCGCAGAACAACAGGTGTAGCCAACACCGACAGAAAGAAAACAGATTGGGTGGCAGAGCGAGGAGCCCTGTGGAGTTGAGGGTGAACTTTACAAGAAATCTGTACATATATCAAATAAGTTAAAATTCTCCTAAATTGATTGTCCTTCACTTAAAGCGCTCCAGTATGCCTGCCTATCTTACTCCTTTGAGCTGTGCTACCTATCCTTGTTTCTTTCCTCCCCCCCCCTTCCCTCTTCTTAATTTTCTCCTCCCAAACGAATGACCAGGATTACACAGTGAAAACGTCTGCTTTTCTCCGTGGAGAAAGAGGCAGGGCTCTCAGGAAATTTTGTACAATATTGCACAGGTCAAAAGTACAACAGTTACTGCAGAACAAAAAGGGGGAGAGAAAAAAGACAGATTTTTTTTTTTTAATATTGAAACCACTCTCTCAAAACAGGGAACAAAGCAATAATAGTAATAATAATAATTTACCAACAAATGAAATCCCCAAAATAAATGCTACTAATAAATAAGACCACTCACACCGGGCCAGATGTGGAGTTGTTTCAATAATCAGAAGTCTAATTTGGGGCTGTCTTATCTTTTCCTTTTAAACACTTAGAGAATTCTTCAGTCACAAAGCAGGACAGATGAAGAGGTCAACCGCGACACACCTCTGCGGGAAAAGCGGCCTGAGTCGGGGTTCCTACCAGAGGCTTCTCAGATTCTGAAAATTGGGGAGGATAACTAGGGCTGGAGAGGGAGAACCACACTCAGAAATCCAGGAATAAAAGTAGGATAATGTGAATTATCTCCTTCACTCTCTCTCTCTCTGGACTTCTGAAAACAGTTCTATAGAAAATGAATAAACTAGAGGAGTTTAGGTTTTTGCGGCTTATTTCTCTTCTATAAAAATAAAACCAAAAAGCCACAGCGCAATGCAAATTTGGGGGGAGGGGGGAAGAGTTGCACCTTTTACAAAAGCTTTCAGACGAAGTATTTGACCCGGGAATTTTGTCTTTTCCCTGCTCTTTCTTAAGAGAACCAAAACCAAGAGTAAGAGGGGAAGCGCCTCAAATCCGTTAGGGGTGAATTGCACGAAAATGCGTTGCAAATACTTACAAAACGCTACCGATTGGGGGAGGGGAGGCCGGGGCGGCGCGCCGAAGCCCCGGTTCCCGAAGGCCGCTGGACGTCTTGGCGCCCTCGGCCCGGCCCAGTCTCCTCCGGGATCTGGGAAGGCGGCCGGGCGCTCCCTCCCCCTCCCCTGTCGGGCCTCAGACGGGCCGTAGCAGCGGCACAGATGAGACCACCGGGTGCGAGTAGTACACGGGGTGCGGGAAGGTGAGCAGCGGCTGGCTGACAGGCACCGGGGCCCCCGCGGCCGCGGCCGCGGCGCCCTCGGCCGCCGAGTTCTCGTGGTAGAGGATGGGCACCCGCACGATGCGCTGCGCCGCGGCGTGGCTCAGGTTGGCCGCCTCCAGCTCGGCCGCCAGCTGCCGCTTCCACTTGTTGCGGCGGTTCTGGAACCAGATCTTGACCTGCGTCTCGGTGAGGTGCAGCGACGCGGCCAGGCCGGCGCGCTCCGAGCTGCTCAGGTAGCGCTTCATGTCGAAAGTGGACTCGAGCTGGAAGACCTGGCTGCGCGAGAAGACCGTGCGCGTCTTCTTTTTGCGGCACGCGGGCTTCTTCTCGGGGCTTTCGGCGCCCTTCTTCCAGTCCTCCGCGCCCGGCGTCGCCCCCGCCGCCCCCACGCTCGCCCCGGCTGCTCCCGCCGCTGCCTCGCCCTCCTTCTTGCTTTCCTCCGAGTCGCTCTCCTCCAAAATGATCTCGTCCGGGCTCTTGGAGTCCAGCTCTTTGTGGTCGGGGTCGGCTTTGAGCAGTGGCTCGGGGGAGTCGCGATCTGTTCCCGAGGCGGGGGAGGAGTCCCGCAGGAGCGCCTTCTCCGAAGCTGGGGAGAGACAGACAGACGGACGCACACACACGCACACGGACACAGCCTTCAGCGAGGCCTGGCGCCTGGGGGCCGAAGGCTCGATCCGCACTGGCCTCTGGGCCCCAGGCCTCGAGGCCTCAGCGTTCCCACGGGCCTCCTTCCTGGCTGGGCCAGGGTGGGGACTCCGCGTCCTGGGATCCCCTTCCTCCCGAGGGCAGGCGAGAGACCCGGACGGTGGCAGAGCGGCCACTTCCTTTCTTTCCCTCAGATCTCCCGCCAGGGGCCCACGGAGAGATTCGCCTCTGGCCTGGGCCTACCGGGTCAGTGCCTCCATCCAGGCCCGGTCCCCGGTCCCAGCCGGCCGAAGCCTCCCCATTCATACCCCAGGCCACTTTTCCCGGGAAGCGCCAATCCCACCTCCTTTTCTCACCAAGTGGGATTGGATTCCCGGGCAGCGCAACCGAGCGCGCGGGCAGTAGATATAAGCCAGGGGCCGGAGGAAGTTGGCCAAACAGCGGGTCGGAGGGCGCGGGGGTCTCAGGGTTGAGATGGGAGGCGGCGCGGGACGGGCATGGTACTGGCGCGCGGGGAGGACAACGAAAGTTCAAAGAGAGGTCGGTACCTTCAGGTCGCGAGAGGTGGCCGCCGGCGGGGGTCAAGGTGTAGGGGTACCACCAGGCCGGGGAGCGCTCCAGGTAGTGCGCGGGCAGGGCAAACCTCTGCGCCGGGATCTCAAAGCGGGGGAAAGCCAGGTCGCCCACCTGCGAGAGCGCGAAGCCCGCGGCGCCCTCCAGAGCCCCCTTGGCCGCCGCGGCG